TAACCTCTCACCAATGGGGTTACTGTCCCTGGTGGTCTAGTGGTTAGGATTCGGCACTCTCACCAATGGGGCTGACCCTGTCCTTAAACTTTTTGCAATCTTATTTTATTATATTTAATATTTTTTTAGAGATTTAAAAATTTTGCTTTAGGGCATGTGTGCTCACTGGACAGAGAGAGACAGAGACAGCGACAGAGATGGAGAGGTGAGAAGGCAAGTGAGAACTCACCCTCTAGGAGGGATGGCCAGGCAGCAATCCCTTCTCCTCCATTCTCCTCAGAGGATATTGGGCATGTACTCACATGCACCTGGTGTGGTTTTCAAGCCACCAGGTCTGGGACTTGAACTGTTGTTGGCCATATGGGAGTCCAGCAATGTATCTGCTATGCCATCTGCTGGCCCCTATAATTTATTCTTTTTTTAAATCATGAAACAGTTTTATAACAGCATAATTTGATTTTACAGAAGACAAAGCTGAGGTGGTTAAACAACTTGCCCAAGGCCCCAAGACTATAGAACAGCAGAAAAAATGTAGGACACAGATTTGAAAAATTCCAGAGTCCTAGCTAACAAGCACAGGGCTTAAGTAGGGCTGGCAGGAAGGAAGAGACAGGTGAGCATTGTGAGTCCAAGTGGAAGCCAGCCCCTGGAGATGAGAGATTGGCAGAATTCCTACTTGAGGACACAGCTGGAAACAGTGGCTGCTCTCGACTGTTTCCCAGGCCCATTTTAAGGAGAGGACAAGTCCTTTAGGTACCTGAACATTCTGATTACAGCCAGAGAGCTGAGCATTCTTGGGACTTTTCCCTCCTTGCCTGCTTTATGCATGACCTGAGTTTCCTCATCTGTCAAATGAGGATATGAAGGAAATTCACAAAGTTTGTCAAAAAAACAAAATTAGGGAACCAGCAATTAACGTAATGGCTATGTCACTAGACTCCCATGTAGTTGACTGTGGTTCGAGTCCCGGACCCAGTGGCTTAAACTCATGTTGGGTGTGTGTGCATGCTTGCCCAAGATCCCGAGAGAAGAATGGAGGAGAAGGGATTGCAGCGTTGCCATCACACCTGGGCGGTGATTTCTCACTTTGTTTCTCTCTGTCTCTCTCTGTCTTTCTAGCAAGTGCATGCACCCTGTAGCAAAAATCTCTCTAGAAAAAGAAAAAATTAAACAAAAATAAAATTATGAGTTTAAGGCTGGCTCTGTGGTTAAGGTAGCTAAATTCCACATGGTTGGCTGTGCCGTTCAAGGCCTAGACCCAGAGGATTCAAACCAGGCCTGTGTGCATGCATGCCCAAAATCCAGAAAGATGGGAGAAATAAAGGAGATGGGATTGCAGCCTTATCATGCTCCATTGTGTGTGGGATGGTGGGTGGGGATGTGCTTTCTCCTTTTCCTCTATTTATCTAACAAGCCCATGAATTCTTTATCAAAAAATATTGATAGATAGAAGTTTATTTTTGTGCAAAAAATGTTAAAATCTATACTTAATTTTTTCATGTTACACATTTGCCATGAACTTTTTGAGGACACACTCCTCGGATATTTTACCCACTCAATTTATGGGTTTTTTGAGAGACTGAGTAAATGATAAATGAGAAAACATTTGAAAAGCATAGCAGAGTGATGCCAGATGCCATTACTGTGGAAGTTCTGTGTGGGCCTCTCTTACCTCCATAGCTTCCTCATGCTGGCGATGCCCAGTATCAGATCCCATGACCTTTTCCAGCTGCTCCAGCATGGGTTTTCCCATTTCCCTCTGTGAGCACAAAGTAATAGTTGAGCATCAGGACCAACAGTTAGCGTAATGGCTACATCGCTGGACTCCCACGTAGTCGACTGCAATTCGAGTCCTGGACCCGGTGGCTTAAACTCACGTCGGGCGCGTGTGCGTGCTTGCCCAAGATCCCGAGAAGAGAATGGAAGAGAAGGGATTGCGGCATGACCATTCCCCCCTCCCCCCGCCCCTGGAGGGTGATTTGTCGCTTTTTGTCTCTCTGTCTCTGCCTTTCTGGTGAGCACACGCGCCCTATAGCAAAAACCTCTCCCCCCCCAAAAAAAAAATAGTTCAGCATCTTCTGAGTTCCTGGGAAATTTTCCTTCTATGTAGATTTTTATTTTCAAGAGCCAGAGCCAGTGTCTGTGTCAAGCCAGGGTCCATAGTTCTCCCGTACGAGCTCCCTTTCTGGGAGTTTCGCCATGTTTTGGTTTCAGCCCTTGGCACAAGACAGGCTTGGGCTCCTGTGTCTGGGGAGGCTTGTACCGCTTCTTTTCGTTGGCACATGGCCTTGGCCATGTGCTTGCCCTGTAGAGAACAGGGAGGCAGCTGACCCCTCCCCTGGGTGTCCTTGTCTCCTTGGGATTCCCTTGTGTGTGTGTGTGTGTGTGTGTGTGTGTGTGTGCATTTGTTGGGGGTTGTGTAAGCCCCGGAGGCTAGGCTTCTTGCCAGTTGCCCAAGTTCCTTTTTCCTCGGAATCGAGTTAGCCTCCCAGTGGTTTGTAGTCTCTGTTCACTGCCAAGCTCTGCAGCAGGGTCCAGTGCCAGGCTGAAAGCATGCTCTGCTTTGGTAATCCAGAGCTTCCATTTTGAGAGAGATGGGAAATGGTACTGAGTAAACAGACGTGTTGGATGGGGAGAAGGAGTTATTGGCAAGCTCTGCAGAGTTGGCCCAGCTGCTTGGTCTTCACTCAAAAGTAAGACTAACCTTTGACTGACCCCCAAATGTCCGAAAGGAAATTCTTTATTCTTGGATCTAGACCTTACCAGGAGGCCTAGCAGTAATTTTTTTTTTCTCCCAATCTGGAAAACAGGTAATAAATTTTACTCCACTGTTCTTCATGTCAAATGAGAAACATTCCTAAATAGTCCCATCTACTCAAAATTAGGAGGAAGTGACATAAGGGTTGTGCTTCTTTAAAACATTCTGAAGAATTCTCAGTGTTATATATATATATATATATTTGTGTGTGTACACACACACACACACAGTCACTCACGGAACCAGCAGATAGCATAATGGTTATATTGCTGAACTTCCATGTAGTCAACTGTGGTTCAAGTCCCAGACCTGACAGCTTAAAACTCATGCTAGGCATGTGTGCATGCATGCCCAAATCCCTAGAGAAGAATGAAGGAGAATGATTGTGGTGTGGCCATTCCCCCAGGGGGTGATTTTTCACTTTCTGTTTATCTCTCTGGCAGCCCATGAGCCCTATAGCAAAAATCTCTCTAAGAAAAAAAAAAAAAAAAGAGTCACTTCCTAAGTAAGTTTAGGAAATACTGTATAACAAAAGTAGGTTTCTTGTCTCTAGGAACCATTCAAGTCTTTAACGTAATGGGGCTTCAAAAAGTTTGTGAAAGAGTGACTTGTCTTATATTGCAGTGACTCAGTGCTCTGCATAGAAAGCCGATTCCCAGATAGTTGACTATCTGGGAAGAACCAGCCTGGCGGCTTGAAAAATGTGCTGGGCACGTGCCCCATATCCTTACAGGATGAAGAAATGGAGGAAAAAAGATTGCAGTGTGACCACAATCTATGGGGCAGGGAGAGTTTTTTCTCTCTCTCAGATAACCATGTGTGCCCTCTAGCAATTAAAAAATAATTAAATAGAAAAAAAGTTTCTGGAAAAAAGAAATTAAAATATAGCTTTATTTTAGTGCAAAAAATAAATTACATCTATGCACAGAATGTTCATAATACATACATTCTAGGAACTTTGTAAAGAGCCCACGTGTATCAATAATATGCTGGTGAATCTCCAAGGGCATATATTGTATTTAACATTTCTTTTTTTCTTTTTTAAAAAATTTGCCAGAGGCTGTCTGTGCTTACCGGGAAGAGAGAGAGAGAGAGAGAGCACCCCCACCCCCACCCCCACGGGGAATGGTCATGCTGCAATCCCTTCTCCATCTCTCCCTCCTTTTGGGATTTTGGACACACATGTACATGTGCCCAAAATGTTCTTTATATTATTAAGAATTATTTTATTTAACTTTATTTGTTTATTTTAATTTGACCAGAGGAGGACAGAGTGGGTGGGGGGAGTGAGAAAGCAAGCTGCCAGGTCTGGGATTCAAACCATGGTCGGCCATGTGGGAATCCAGCACCCTTAACCACCAAGCCACCTGTAAGTTCCCATGTTTCTCAAGCTGGTGACTCCAGACTTGAACTGCATGACTGACCTTGTGGGATTCAGCTGCTTTAACCACCAGGCCATGAACTGGTTTATGTATTTAACATGTCTTAAATTGCTTTTTAGAAGTGTATTTCTTTTTTCTATGAATGAGAGAAACAGAGAGAAGGAGCAGATCCCCAACAGGATCTTAACAGTGCACTCCCATTCCAGCCTCAAATAGTCCCAGATCTTAGGCATAGGTGTGCTTTGTGTACTCAGGAAGGTTTCCAGATACAAACTGGAAACCTTCCCATGTGGATCAGCCTGGCAGAATGCCATGTTTTCCCATTGTGCAACTGTCTGGGCCCTATTTCTTAAATTCCTAATCAGACATGCATATTTTTTTTTTATTGCCATAGGGCACACATGCTTGCCAGAGAGAAATAGAGAGAGGAAAAAGAAATAGAGAGAGGGAAAAGCACCTCCTAACAGGGCTGTAATCCCTCATCCATTTTTCCATTCTGTAGATATGTGCATACGTACACACACATGCCTAGTGTGCTGGGACCAGGATTCTAACTGTGGTCGGTCAGCCATGTAAGATCTGGCTCTCTTAACCACTAGGCCACGGGACTGGCCCTAACCAAATTTTTTTGTTGGATCATTCTTCAAATGCTATCTTTGCAAAATAACACCTTGTGAGATTCTGATCTGAGTCAGAAATGTGTTCATTGTTCTTTTTTCTCCAATTGTGAAGGGAGATAAATGGGTAAAATGCATAGGGTTGTTAAAATGTGGGTTCTGCTGAGCAAGGGTGTTCAAGTTCAAGATCTCTTGAGATGGCTGCTTCCTGCTCTGAAATGTCTCTCTCCTCTGTCCTCACAGCTCCCGTTTGAGTTGGAGATTTACTACATCCAGCATGTTATGCTCTACGTGGTACCCATCTACTTGCTTTGGAAAGGAGGTAAGGCCACAGACCACAGCCCTGTACCATATCACATTTGGTCTCTCCCTTCTATTTTGGGGAGTCACAGCCTTGTGGGTGTCCCAGGATCTTGAGCTGCTGCTTGCTTAGGTTTCTTTAGTAAGATTCTTGTACACACCAGTCCATGGGGAAATGGGCATGATGGGGCCTGCAAAGAGTCTGGGTGCTTTTCAGACCCATTCTCTGTAGGTGAGCACAGTGCCCCTGACTGCCTGTCACAGAGCCTACGCCCTTGGACTCTTGGTGGTGGCACTGGTTTTGCTCAGGAACTCCCATACTCTGTCACTTTCTTGTACTTGTGCCTTACTTTGTCTCAGTGTCCAGGACTAGGTAGAGGGCAGAAACAAACCTCTTAGTTCCATCAAGCAAAGGACCTTATGCTCTTATTCATTGTATCTGTCCTCTCAGAACCAAAGAATATCCTGAAAAAGGCAAAAAGTTCAGGAACTTGGGGGTTATGGAATTGAGGGAGGAGGAAGGTAGGTGAAAGAGTAGCATCTCGCCTGTAAACTAAACCATTGAGAACCTTCATAAGGTCAAGAAGGACAGCCACCAACCTGGTAGAGACAGCCTACAAAGGATACTGATCTATTTGGGACCTCACAATAACCCCTAAATGATACCTTCCCTTTGTCGTGCAGGAGACCAAAGGGAAAGGGAGTTCCTATGCCTTCTGGACTTTGTGTGTGTGTGTGTGTGAGAGAGAGAGAGAGAGAGCCACTCCTTCTCTGTTCTTCATTGCCTGAAAGACCCTAGAGCTAGAAGATGTTCTCTCTCAGTCTTAGCCACCAGCTTCTCTATCTGGTTGCTGGGATTTTCTGGGAGATCATCCCCTTTCTACTTCACCACAGGGAGTGAAGATTTCATTTCTTTTGCACTATAAATGGCTTGGGCCCTTGAGCCCACTGGTACGTGTTCTGAAAGTTCTGTTGGGCTACTTCTTGGCTTCTGTTTGGATCCTCTAACTCAGGCATTTGGACACATCTTAAGCCCTTCTGGCCGGAGATAACTTCAGGGACTGGTCAACCCAGAAACATATTGGAGAATGGGCACTGTTGTTCTCCATGAAGTCTGCTTACAGTCGAGAGATTAGTTTCTTGTGCCATGATTTCTATCAGTTAGGATTCTGATTTGTCTACATATTCTTTGAAGCTGCTTTTACTCATGCAGCCACTTGAGGTCTCACACGGTCTTTTTCACTGATCTTTATGGCAACTCCAAAGCTCCAGGGACCAGGAGACTTGTGCCATTTCTCAGGTCTGTCCCTGTGCACAGAAAACAGTCTCCTAGTACTATTCTAGTATCAGAGATATACTCGTTCTGAACAGAGCCAAGCAGGTGGCTGTCCCAGGGCTTCAGGCCCTACCTCAGTGTTTCCAGTCTCTGGAGTGTGTGATGAAAGCTCTGGCCAAATACACATGGCTGTTATTTAAACCTATTCATTCTCTGAGATTACCATAAAAATCTGCTAGGTTGCTGGGCTCGATTGGTCTGACATGACAATTACCAAGTAGACACCCTTCTAAAAGAACAATCTGAGAAGCCAACCCCTCTAGAGGTGGCCGATTCCACTGTGACCTGCCGTTGGGTATATTGCTATGCTGATTAGGGGAACTGAACTGAGGAAATAGAAATTCCGAGTCCTAATTCCAGTTTACTTCCTACTCTTAATGGTTCTTTCCCCCTCTTCTCTGGCACATGGCCCAAAGAAGAAATTGTAATAATAACAACAGGAATTATAAGGACATTAAGTATCAGAGAGTACTTTTTATTGTTTACTATATGCAAGATACTGTGGTAGGTGTGTTTTCTGTATTTTCCCATCACAAATAGCCTGTTGAAGAATCCTTCTACAGAGGAGAAAAATCTAGGCTCAAAAACATTAGCCTGAAGTAACACACCTGGGATTCAAAACCCAGCCTAGATTCCTTCCCAAACTGGGACTCCCTTGCCTACACCAGGCTGCCCTAAGGAACAGATATCTGTCTCCCAAGCACTCTGCCTCCTGCCCCAATCAGTTATTCACTCAACATGTATTTGTTGAACACCTATTATGTGCCAAGAATTTGTACTATGGAATCGGAGACAAACCAGAAGAGAAAGCTGCCATCTTTCCGTGAGCAGTTCCTGTTTGGTGGGGAAGACAGGTAGTTGTAATACACATGACACGTGCTATGGAGGATATAGTGGGAGCAGGATGTGATTTCCAAAGTATAGTTCACCATCACTGCTTTTTCATCATTTCTGGGAAGATAATCATATGTTATTCAAGTAGATCTTGTTGGGAGTTCAGTTCCCTAAGCAGTAAGCTGAGAGACTGTAGGACTGTAGGAAAAGATGACAGCCCTGTTACGACTAATAAGCTCTTGCCACCCTAGTTCAGTGAGGGCTTAGCTTGCAGTACAAGAGCAGGGATCTCACTGACTTGACCTTTGGCTCTAGGTCCTGAGTGAAAGCATCCACTGTTGCCTTCCTCCAGTCTTGGTGGGCCCTTTCATCTTCCAGCTTTGAGCTACTTTGGGGGCTCATCTCCCATTTCAGCTCTTTGCTACCATCTGCTGTTCACTTGAGGACAATGATGAGCACTGAGAAAAAAATATGACTTTCTTCTTAAGGCTGATTTCACCTTTGGTCTCAGCTGTGGACCTAGGCTTTACAGAGGGAGAATAAATCTGGAGTGAGCAGTGGGAAGATTATTTCCTTATAAACAGAGACAGCTGAGGTTTGAGGTTTCTGCTCCCTAGAAGTCTTTTTATCATTTTTCATATGGATGGCTTAGAGCAAGGTAGCTGTCCTTTAGTTACCTCCCTGTTTTCCTGAAAGATCAGTGCCTGTTTAGGTACATTGTGCCTCTTCCTGTGGTTTAGGGATGGGGGTGGCTGGTGCTTAGTGGAGGCCACATCCCTCCCTCATTGATACTGGCATAGTACACATGACCTCTCTCTTTTCTTCCACCAACCTGGCTCTTTTTTTTTCCTGTTTTCATTCCTCCCAAGTCTTTGACTTCAGCCCTCTGGAACAATATGAGGGATCTTCAAAAAGTTTATGGAAGGGACCAGTAGATGATGTAATGGTTACGTTGTTTGACTGGTCAACATTTCGACCATGGTTTGAGTCCCAGACCTGAAGGCTTAAAACTCACACCGGGCATCTGTGTGTGCATGCTCAAAATCCCAGGAAGAGAATGGAAGAGAAGGGATTGCTACATGGCCATTCCCCCTGGGGGAGTGATTTCTCACTTTCTGTCTCTCTGTCTCTCCAGTGAGTGCACACGCCCCTATAACAAAAATATCTCTCTTACAAAAAAAAGTTCATTGGAAGTGGAATTCAAATACAAGTTTATTTTGCTTCAAAAGATAGCCATACATTGTTTTTTGATCGTTCATATTTTCCATGAAATTTTTGAAAATCCCTCATACTGCTTTATTTTCATTTGTTTCTATCTTTATTTTTTATAAGTAATTAGTCATGCATTCCATGAAAGTGAATGACAGAAACAGAGAGATAGGCAGTCCCCAAAAGGTCATCACACTGTGATCTACCCCTAGTCTCAAGTGGTCCAGATTTCAGGCATGTGCATCTATGCCCAGCAGGCTCAGAAAAGTCCTAGGATGTGAACCCAGGAATTTTCCCATGTGGGTCTGGTTGCATTACCACTGTATCACCTCCTGCCCCTTAATTTTTTATTGGATATTGACAAATTGTAATTGTTATGTGTATATACATGGTACACAGTGATACTATGATATATACATACAATGTAGAATGATTGAATCAAATTGATGAAGGAATTCTATTTCTCAACGAAGCTCCACCCACCAGCTGTTCTTCCCAGAACACAAAGTTCTCTGGGCCTCTTACCTGAAGCACCCTGTCATGGAGGCTGCTCTTTCTGTCCTGTCCCACATTGCTGACCATCTCTTCCAGATCATCATTTCATCACTACCTTCTGTGAAGAAACTTTCTCCATCACTAATATTTCTAGGTCTTTTTTCTGGTCACTACCATCACCTAACCCCTTGGCCACTTTTCGCATGTTCCCAGATATCATTGGGCCCTGCCTCTCAGCCTTTCCATTACAACTTTAGCCAAAATCCTGAGAGACATGCGGTGAAAACCACTCACCTCACACCCAACTTCTTAAGATTTGGGCTTCTTTTAATTTTTTTCTATTTTTTTAAAAATTTATGATAGAACATGTCTTGGGAGGGAGTGAGGGGTATCCTTCCTGGGGTTCAGTTATACCAAATCCCCTTCCTCCAGTCCTCCAGCCTGCCATTCTAAAATCCTGTGTTTTAACCACATACAACTCTGTCTTTCGTTTCCTTCTCATAGCTAAACATCTTAAATAATAGCCCAGGGCTGGCCTCATAGCACAGCAGTTAAACACAGTGAATAGGAAGCCAGATTCCACATGACTGACTGCAGTTCGAATCTCAGCCCTGGTAGCTTGAAAATCATATTAGGCATATGTGTGTGCATGCTCAGATCCTGATGAGAGATAGAAGTGGAGGAAAACGAATCATAACATGCCCATACCCCACTGGGTGATGTCTTCTTCTTTATTTTTCTTCCTGGTGAGCACATGTGTCTTCTAGGGGAAAACAAAGCAATAGTTCAAATAGTCCTTCCTAAACTTTAGTTTTTGGGGCCATGTTAATTCTTGCCTTTTCCATGTAACCATCTATATTAGTTTGTAATGTATGTCCCAAATGTATTGATTTGTTTTTACTAAAATACATTTTTAAGAGAAACCTCATTATATCTGTGAAATGATGGCTTTAATTTACCGGTTATCTACCTTAACACACTTCAAATAACATAACCATTACAAACGAAATGTTGATCTGTTTTTCACCTGAAATCACCTCCGGAATACTGCATAACTGTGAGAGATACTCGAAATGTTGATCTGAAATCACCTCAGGAATATTGCATAACTGTGGGAGATACTCGTGTCTGCAATTAGTGAGCCATCT